AAAAAATATATATTTAGTATTTCTTGCGCATTCTTTTAATTTGATTCTAACACTATTTTTGTTTGGTTGTTTCAAAATATTTAACATCGCTCCTTTGATGTGTATAATTTCACAAATATTTAACCAAATGCATTCGAATACAGAAAACATACACATCGAATGCAACACTAATGATTTAATATAATTTCACAATATCTATTTAGTATTTCCTCCTCTTTCTTTTATATGATTCTTTAGCTCAAAGGTTTATATACAAACAACAAACCCTAACCTATTCATATTTGAGTAAGGATTCATACAAAATACAGAACAATAGCAAACCCTAACCTATTCAAACCCTAATAATGTAGCTAAGCAGTGTCAGCAAGATAAAAAGACATGCCATTTTCCTCCAGAATTATCCAATTTTTAATAAATTTAGAAGGGCTCTGGCAACAATGTAATTCATCGAAGCTAGTGAACAAACAATCTTCATACTTTAAAAGAACAACTTGAGATTGAGACCTGAATAAGAACTTGTCTTAAAGACATAGCTCCATTAGCCAGCAGTACTGTCTCAGCTTGTATGTTCTTTAACCACTGCTTAAACAATGAGGATTCAATAGCATTCCTACAAGGAAATAAATATTTCACTCAATCCGAGCCATAGTAAGAAAAGTCTGAACCTTTACATAAAATGCTTCCTCTTTTGAAAGTCTTCCAGAAATCTAACTACAAATTCCATAAACTTAGAAGAAAAGAAAAAAGCAAAAAGAAATAGCAACTGGAGGGACTTCCAAACAGCCATTTTAATTCAAAGCCAAACTTGAAAAAAATGCTTCACCCTTTTCCCGAAATACTCGAAACACTTACTTAACCTCACAACAAATGCCATAGTGATCATGCATAAGTTGAATGCTAAAATGGCACATTAAACATGATCGAAATGTTAAGCAATTAACAAAATCAAACTTCATATATATAATCATGCCCAACTTCATTACAATACTAGATAATCAAAGGTAAAAGTAACATCCTTGCAAACCAAAGAGAAACAAAAAACACTTTCAAACACAAGATAACATAAAACCTACAATTGACATAATTAATTTCCAATATTTTCATAAAGCTTCAACCCTATAAATATGCCCGCTAACATAGCAGTTGAAATAACACTTGCTGCATGTTCATTTGTTACCACTTCTTCACTTTCTTCAACGGTCGAGCTTGAAGATGACTCTTCTTGTGAACAACTTGTTTTTTGAAAATTTTTGAAGGCTTCTAAGGCTTCATCATAATATTGGAAAGCATGAAAGTAGCTACCTTCGACTCCAACAAGCATTTTAACACACTCAGACCAACATTTGTATATACCCGGCTTCTTCCCACAATAAATAACAAACACCATAGATTTGAGTTTTTGTTTACCTTCAACAGATTTTTCATATTCATCGAACGCCGATATGGCCGCACTATGAGACTTGAAAGACTGGAAGATGCTACGCTTAATCCTGATAACCATTGGAGAACATTCCCGGCCTTTTACCCGAAAATACAACATACACTTTTGAAGGACTATTCTTCTTAGAATGCATCCTTAATCTATTAACTAAATGGAGAGGATAAGAGTTTAAATGAAGGATTTTGGTTAAGTAGGTTTTCGGCCAAAAAATGATTTGGTTAAGTAGATTTTCGGCCAAAGAATATTTGGTTAAGTAGGTTTTCGGCCAAGGAATATTTGTTTAAGTAAGTTTTAGTACATATTAGTTTGTTTAAATGTATTTTATGGAAGGCCGTATTATACTATATAATATACGAAATACAAATCAAATACTAAAAATTATACGAAATGCCCAATAAAATACATGTATATAGATTTAATTATGGAGGATTATATGGGTGTATATTAATAAAAAAAAAAGGGCTGTAAATACGTAAAAAAAAATAAAAAAAAAACTTTTTGCATTGAGAAGACAAATAGGTTTTACCTTTTGAGCTCTTCCATGCATTGAGAAGATAAACAATAAATGGTGGGAGAAATAATTAAAAATAAAGTAAAAGGGTATTATGGGTATTGAAAAACGTAATTTACCCTCGTAAAAAGACTAAATTAACCCCATTTGGGTCAATCTGGCCAAATTTAGTTAGGCCAAAAGGATTTTTCCTAAAGATAAAGGAAAAAAAAAGAATATACTTTTTTTTAAAAATATTTGTGGACTTAGCTGATGACTCGGATACTGATGGCTAATATTTCAATACTTGAGCTTATCCTCTTCAACTTAGTGCAATTCTAAAGTCAAGACATTCATTTGAAACCATACGACAAGATAATGTCGAATCTCAGGATAAGGCCTACCTTTACTTCTACAGACACATATATTAAATTCATGAATTATTATCTTAGTCTAGAGTCCTAACACTAACGTTCCATTTTCTTGCCGTGCTACCTACTTAACTTTTCGACACGTGTCGACTTCTCATACGGTACTTTGGTCATTTTACAGGTGTCATTTATTTAGTTGGACTGTGATGAAATTTCTGTGTTATTAGCTGTCATAAAGTCTCAAAAGTAAAAGTGAACTATATCCACACATTATCTTTTTTCTTCTGCATAGTCACATATATAAATGCCTTCCTAGAATACACAAAAAATCCCATGTTTTCTTTTGCATGTGCCTTTAACAGATAGACACCAAAGCTTTAGCCCAACTCACAGATTATTATTATTATCTCAACATTTTTCTTGATCTGCTTCTTCAATTTCAAGAAATTATAAGGCAAACTTAGCTAGCAAACATGATGAAGAATCAAGATCAACATCAGTTATGGATGATAGATGAAGGACATGAATTAGGTAATAATGGTGAGATATACAACAACAACAACAACAGCCACTCACCTTCTTCGTCAGTTTCATCATCCATTGGAGAATCATCAACAATTTCAAATGGATCAACTTGTTCATCTTCATTAGACACAACAGATGATGCATCTTCATCTCCCTCTTCATGTTCACCTAATTCTGATGAAGCTTTATATGACTTATCATCCCTCATGGCACAATTACCTATCAAGTAAGTACTTTCATCGTTCTGCATTATGTGATAGCATTTGACCTAAAAAAAAAAAGCCGCCTGGTGCACTTAGCTCTCGCTATGGACGGAGTTCGGGGAAGGGCCATACCATAAGGTCTATTTTACATCGTCTTTATCTTACCTTGTATTTCTGCAAGAGGCTGTTTCTACGGGTTGATCCCGTGAACCAAGAGTAACTTTACCAGTTATCCCCTTCATGTAATAGTATTTGACTTATTTGACTGAACGCAGAATTTTAAAATGAAAAATTGATTTTTGGCACATACAAACCTTAGTGTCATGTTATATACGGATATATTGAATCATTCATTTTGGAGCAGACTTATAAGAAATAAGTGTCATGTATAATGGAACAGAAGTAGTAACAACAATAGAAAAGAATGTCTTTTGATGAATTACAACTTAAAATGATCAATCTTGTTATCATGAGAAATGAAATTTGATGGTGGAATTCTTATACTTTTCATTTATGAATATTGCAGGAGAGGATTATCAAAGTTTTATCAAGGCAAATCGCAGTCTTTTACATCTTTATCAAGAGTGACAAGTTTAGAGGATCTTGTTAAGAAAGAATCACCTTACAAAAGGAAAATGAAGTCTTGCAAAAGCTATGGAGCTGGATTGGATTCTTACAAGTCATATACTCTTCCAAAGCCAACTATATTGAAGAAAGCCTCAAGATTTTCAGCATCTTGTACTAATGGAAAGGCAAGTTTTATCAGCAGGAGCAGACCCCCTCTAATTCCTCTCCATAGAACCTAGACCCTCCTATCAAAACAAGTGATCAGAAAAGTGAAAAAGAAATAAGAGGAGACTACTATTCAAGAGAGAGAGAGAGAGAGATCTAGTCTAGAGAGTAAGAGATAGATGTGTATACTTCAATTTTGTTTATGTTATTTCAGAAATATATTTTTTGCCCTTGCAGTTCCTTGGAAACTGGAAAAGAATAATGATAACAAACTCTATTGTTGTTTAAGTTTGTTTAATCTTCATTACTCATCATTCCCAGAATGAATCCATATGGTGCCTTCTGATAAATACTGTTTTAGAAGCAAACTCTAATCTTAGTAGGTCTAATTCTATCTAGTCTGCAAAAGATTTATGAATGAGGAATTGTGATCAAGATAATTCTCCATTTAAAGTTAAGATTCATCAATTTCCTACAAGTTACAATTAGTTGCCATTGCACTTGATGCACTACTACTTCACCCCTACAATTTGATCTGAAAGAAGACAAAAGAATATGAAACAACAGAGATGCTGTTTCCACTAAACTAACAAGAAAAAGTCCTACAGCTGAATACTTATTCAAGGGGACATGGCAGCAATTCGACTTGATCGCCTAACTGGGGTTGTCAACACCATCTTCTTGATCTCTTCTCCATCTTTCTCCACCTGCTTTTAGAAACCAAACAGTTAAAGATTGTAGCTTTTATCCAAATATAAGAAAGGACTACATAAGAATTTGAACACTTAAAGGGGGAAAATAGACTAAATGTTTAGCATACCTTTTTCTTGATGATCTTCTTTTCAGCTGTAAAGCTTCCATATGATGCAGAATCTGCTTTAGAGTGATCAACAACATATACTTTGCTGCCTTTAGTGTTGCTGTTCTCTTCTGCTTCAATAGTGTTGTTTTTCCTAACATAACTTCTAAGGGAGCTGCTGCTGACTTCTTCAAGTACCATTTCCTCTAGCAGTTCAACATTTGGAGCACTGATTTGACTAATCTCTTTTGATGCTTCTTTCTTTGGACCAAACAAAGAGGAAGCTGCTGTAATGGATCCAATGGCAGGTGTTCTCTCAAGCTGAGTAAAGTTTCTGAGATTTTCTGAAGGGTCACTCAAAGATGAAACCTTTACAACAGAAGTTTCATTTTTCTCCTCTAAGACATTGAATGTCCCAACTTGAGGAGTTTCAATAGAAGCTCTTACTTTCCTTGAAATATAGATGGTAACCAAAGATGCCACTAAAAGCACTGACAATGCAGAAACTCCAATGACAATAACTGCATTATTCAATCCAGTTTCTTTGATTTCAGCATTGTTCGACTCTAATTCAATGTTAAGATTACTGGTTTCATATTCTGTGTCAATTACTTCAGTTACTTTAAATTCTGTCTCAGTTAATTCTTCATCTACAGAGATTTCCTCCACCTGCTCAACATTGTAAGCAGCTTCTGCTTGCTCAAATTTGTAACTTGACTGAGCAGAAGTACTTGAAATGTCATCAAGCAATGGTTCAACTTCTTCTTCATTCACTTCATTGGAACTAGTAACTTCACCAGCAGCTTTTGACATGATTTCCTCATCTTGGTTAGAGTCCTTCTCAAGAACTTGATCCTTCTGCAGTTGCTCATGAAAATCTTCAACTTCTTCCTCATCTACCTCATTGGAACTAGTAACTTCACCAGCAGCTTTTGACATGGTTTCCTCCTCTTCATCACCATGTACACTTTGATCAGTAACATTAACCACTGTGTTGTCCTGTTCAATACCAATATCTGCACCAGTTTTTTCAATATCAGCATTTTCCACATTCAAGAACCCCACTACAACATCTTCAACAAATTCAACTGCCTTAAGTTCAATACTAGTCCCCCTTTGACTCAACTCCAGAAAACCACTTTGAGAGTACTCTAGCTGCTCCGCAGGTACACTTCCACTCCTATAAGTTTCATGGAAAACAGCTTCAAAGATGTTCTTTCGAATCATGTCGCCGTTTTCAGAACTCACCATAGAGTTTATGGAAGATAAATTTGAGCCTAAAAGGAAGAAAACAACCAATAGAAGCAAAATTTTGAATAGTCCTTTTAGGCCCCATTTTCTTTCCACAACCTCTTCCATTTGTTCCTCATCCTCATCAACACTATTATCCCCATCTTCTTCAGTTTCTACCTCCAAATTACTAGTATGTTTTTCTGGTAGATTTAAGGAATCTTGAACTTGCTCCAATGACTCTTCATTATCATCAGATTCCTGAGAATCACGAGAATCGCCTTGTTTGATTTCTTGATTTGAATCAAGAATGATCCGACGACGTCTATTTGGCTTGTAACGTAGATACTTAGGCCTAGGGCCGAGGTCATTAGTGAGAGGGTCGTAAGGCTTATAGGATGAATCAACAACAAAGTTGTTTTCTTGGTCATTATCAGATTCAGAGGCATAACTGTAGGAATTAGAAATAGGTAATTTTCCAGAACGATGATGAGAAGTTGAATTTAGGGAATTGGTTTTAGACCCAAGATTTGAGGATTTATTCTGAGGATGGTTTTCACAAGAGCTGGAAATTTCATTCCTTTCGGCTAAAATTTTCTTTCTAATTGGAACTGAAGCTTTTGAAGCTGCAGATATGGTAGGTGACATGAAATTTTTAGTCATGGTTTTATGAACAAGCGGCTGGTCATTTTCATTCGTTTCTCTTGACCCTAATAACAGAAATAAAAACACTATCAACAAAACAAGACAATATGAGATAAATACAGCTACTATAAATTCTACGATTTCAAGAATTTCCTAATAACTACATCACAATGAACATACAATGTGGTGATAAAGTGAATCAATCAAAGAAACTATCGCAGAAGAACTTAATTTTAGGGTTTCAAGAATTCAAAATATGGTTGAACTTTGTGTAAATTTGTATGATAAAGGCGTGAGAACATACCAGAAAGCGAACGATCTGGAACAGCAGAAGGCTTATTAGGAGAGCTCAGCGATGGAGTTGCTTTCCGAGGAGTAATACCATCCATTTTTCTTCAAAATTGTTTATGCTTTTCACTCAGAAAAATCAAAAATATCCTAATTTCAGAAAATCACTCTTATCTTGCTTTCTTGAAAAGTTTTGGAATATATGAATAGCGAGGGAGTAAACAAAGACTCAGGTAGAGAAGGGAAATGAAGAAGATGACCGTTAGGAATACGTAGCATACGGATTTTTAAATCTGAATTTCTGAAATATGACCGTTGGGGCATGTGGACTACAGTGAGCGCGGCGAAAATTCACAGGGACCACCACCTGAGGGAATAGCCCAGAGTTTGGGAGTTGGGCTCTCGCAGATTGCAGTCTGGGCCAATATTTTCTTTTGGGCTTCAAGAAAATTTTTTAGAATGATATAAGCAAATGTCCCCTTTTTGAGTAAAAATTGTGTGGGGTAGCTATTTTTTAAAGTGGTATTTACTTTTTATCCAACATTTTCAATGCTTAGCAATAGTAGCCACTAGTCTATTAAAATTAATATGAAAAGACTATGGTACCCTTTCTCTATCTCTTTCATGTCAGGGAGAAGCGACACCCTTTCTTCAGACAGAATGTAATGCATATTACACTATGCAGTATTCACCATCAACGAATCTCACAAAAATCTTTCAAACACTCAAACCATTACAGCTTGCCACCAAAATGTAAAGTGCATAGTATATGATAGAAATTCAGAAAAGTACAGTCCGTAAGGTGTACTCCATGTCTGGGCAAAAAAATGCACTCAAACTGGTCATGCAAACTTCTCTGCAAATTTTGCTACATATGTATATTTTACTTGAAATACACAATTTTGTTAGCTATTGCAAAAACTTATTATTTCTCTTATGAAATGTTTATTATTCGTTGATGGACTTAAAGCTTATGCTATAGAACGTTTGGTTTTCTGCTACGTTATGGATCTTGAACTTACAGTTACAAGTTCAAAAGTTAAGGACACTTGGTCCTGAACTTAGACTAACAAGCGCAAAAGTTAAGGACAATAGGTCCTGAACCTAGACTAACAAGCTCAAAAGTTAAGGACAATAGGTCCTGAACTTAGACTAACAAGCTCAAAAGTTAAGGACACTTGGTCCTGAACTTACAGTTACAAGTTCAAAAATTAAGGACACTTGGTCCTGAACTTAGACTAACAAGCTCAAAAGTCAAGGACAATAGGTCCTGAACTAAGACTTACAAGTTCAAAAGTTAAGGACAAGTAGTCCTTAACTTAGAGTTACAAGCACAGAACTTAAGGACAAGTGGTCCTGAACTTCGAGTTCCAAGTTCAAAAGTTAAGGACATGTAGTCCTGAAGTCTTGAACTTCGAGTTGCAAGTTCAAAAGTTAAGGACATGTAGTCCTGAAGTCGAACTTAGAGTTGCAAGTTCAAAAGTTAAGGACACTTGGTCCTGAACTTTTATGAGCAGAAGGGTGTTTTCGTCCGGGCAGGTAAAGTTTATTAAAGCAGTGGCTAAAGACTAAATACATTTTAAACAGTGGCTTAAAAGTAAATACATCTGTTATTAGTGGCTAACCGTGCACTTCCCCCTCTAGCTATCTCAAGGCTTTTGGGCCTCATTGTTTTGACCCTTGGATTTTAACCAAAAAATACCTTAACAATGAAATTATAAATTCGCCCTTATATGATTCTTACTTTCTCCTCCCATTTTGGTATGGAATTGCCCAAGGTAACAACAACAAAACCTTTTCCAGTTCAATCGTGGGATCCGTGGGCTATTACACAATAAAGGGTCATCATATCATTCTTCTTTGGCTAAGATAGAGTGCAATCACTAATAAAAAGGATCTTTACGCAAATAGCCAACTGAATTCACTATTTATTTTTTCAGCCAATATATATATAAATTATACAATGATTATATATGATTATACACTATTATAAATGAAGTATACGTGGATTATACATGCGCCAGTTATTTTAAGTTTAAGCACCTGGGTTGGCAGATATTTAAGTTAATTACGCATACAAAAATTCAAGTCATAACAAATTAAGGTACCAGATGAAAAACAGAATGACCACATCTTGATCAAATAACTAGACACTAACATATATACTGTACTACACATCGTGATATTTCTTCAAGAAGAAAATTTTGGAAAAAATAGATTGGTTTGTGCATGATCAATATAAGATGAGTGACACTTTGTACAATGTAACTTATGAAGGTCTAGATTAAATTAATTTAACAAGCATTCTAGCATAGTTAAAAGGATAAGTTTTGGAAAGTACTGGTATGCAATAGGGGTCAATGGTTCAGTTCAGCCGATTATTTTATAAAATTTATACCATACCAAATCTTCGGTTATTTATTTTGTATAATCAAATTAAACTTTTAAAAACCGTCCCAATTATCTCGGTCTCCCTTCGGTATTGGTACGGTTCGGTTAATTTTTCGGTATCTTTTTTAAAATATCATGCAAGAGTCGCTTGTCCAAGTTAGAATGCAATAATGTGTACTTGCATAGGATTTGGCAAAACTCTCTAGACATTTTTACTATTTTAAAAGTGATAATCAAAGGAACATGAAAGATGTCCAAAATAGAGATTCATCCCACTATTATATGGTAGCGTAAAACAAATTAAGTAAAGATAAGAGAAATATAAATCATACGAGTGGGAAGATACTAATCAAGTTGGGACTCAAGAATATAATTTATTAGTAAAATATTAGTATCCAACAAGAGAAATCTAAATCATATGAGAGGAAAGATACCCAATACCTTATGGCTTGTCACTGAAGATCGCTGGAATACCTAGTGGCTTGCTACTCAAGATGTTAGAACTAATTTTGGTTCCGATATGAGTAGTAAAATAGGTTTGAAAGTTGGGATTTCAGATATTAATCCCAAGACCCAAGAAAAAAAACTTAATGCTTTGTTAGTTTAAACTTAATTAGTACATAAAATATATATTTTTCGTATATAAATTTATATTAAACTAAACCTAATAATTGGCTCGATACGGTTCAGTTCGATAGGTTTAGTCGGTTTTTAACTCAAATAGTCGTCTACCTAATCTATTAAACTAAAAATAGCCGGTAGATGCATAATATTTGCATAATTCATATATAATATATGTATACCTATGTATAATCAATGTATATCGGCTAGAAAATATAAACATTGAATTAGGCCGGCTATTTGTGTAACAATCCCAATATCAATCTCGGCGTTCATCTAATAGGCCTTTTACGCATCTCTTTCTATGAGAAAAATCCAAATGTGGGCCTTTACCATGTACTATACACCAGCAGGAAAATGCTGGGAGAATTGCATCTATACCCGCTTTTTGGGTCACGTTTTAACTTATACCCGCTTTGCAAAAAAAAATTGCAAGCGTACCCACTTTTCGCGTAAACTTCAGGCATACGGGCCTGAAGTAGCAAAGGCAATCACGCAAACTTCAGCATTTTAGTAGATGGGCCTGAAGTTGTTTGTAATTGCTGAACTTAAACAATCTACTAGCTGAAGTTTTGTTCTCTTTTTGTTGAACTTCAGCATGTTTTAGCTGAAGTTTTGTCATGGATTCAATAGTTTTGTCGTAAAAGCTTTTTCAAAAACTTTAGCAGAAGATGCTGAAGTTATTTAGTTCATTTGTAAAAATTTTAACACTAAATAAGCTAAAGTTTTGTCCCGGATTCATTAGTTTTGTCATAAAACTTTTTTAAAAAACTTCAGCAAAAGATGCTGAAGTTATTTAGTTCATTTGTAAAAAATTCAGCACTATATAAGCTGAAGTTTTTGTCCTACAGTCGTACTAGCTGAAGTTTTGTTCTCTAGTTGCTGAACTTCAACATGTTTTAGCTGAAGTTTTTCGCGTAATTGGCTGAAGTTTTTATTTGTAATTGCTGAACTTAAGCATTCTACTAGCTGAAGTTTTGTTCTATATTTGCTGAACTTCAGCATGTTTTAGCTGAAGTTTTCCCTGTATCTAGACATAAGTCCCAACTCCCAACTATAATCTAATGTAAAGATGCGCAACAGGTCTTCTTCCTCCTATCTCCCTAACAATCTGAACACCTATTGCATACAAAACTATGAATTTAGGGATAGAAATTTAAATTCTGCAGTAGCTTTAACAATGTTAGCTTTTTGCTTCCTCGACAGTGAACTTCTTTAGATGATCAATTTAGTTACTAGAGCAAATCAGCAGTAAAATATACTACAAATTACAAAAAATGAAGAGTAGAATAAAGAGTAGAAAAGAAAGGAGGAAGAAAGGAGCGCACAGGTAGCGGGAAGAAGGAAGCGCTTGAAGTTATAAAAATTAGGGTATAGATTAAATAATTTTAAAAATATAGGTATAAGTTAAAGGGGGCGACCAAATAAGACGCCCTGTGCAATTTTTACGAAAATGCTAGCTAACCCTATTTTATCACGTAAAAGTAACAAATGAAAAACGAAAGGGAGAATTACGCATTACTTACCTTTCACAGAGACTTCGACTTGAACACATACCTTCCCCTTGTGGATATAGATGACACAAACCTCTATTTTTTTGAATATTGTGTATTCTACAAATAGACAGATTTGCCATCATGCTCTAAATCAATTTATACTTTTGCGTATAGAAAAATTTAGTTTTATATTTTATCATATCATAAATCTAATTCCATCATTCTATCATCCCCATTAAACTTCATTAAATAAAAGGAAAAGTATAGTATACAAGTGGCACATAATTATTGCGATGAATCATGCCTTTCAATATTTTAGGTTGTTGCTGACTGTGACAAGCAATGTCTTAAACGAAATGGACAGCTTTTATATTCATCGGATACACATATTCTACCTACTTATTTTGTCAATAGTACTTGGCACAATTGTTATGAATTATAACTGCACTTGTCATTTCTTCACCCAATTGAGATTACACAAAGAAAACACAAAAAAGGAGATTGGGGTGTAGAACATTTCAAGAGTAAAAACCAAATACATACCCTAATAAAAATCAGGATTGTTAAATTACTTGACATTAATTCCAATCCTGATATTGAAACAGAAACCCTAATAATGTTCTTCAACCAATGTAGTACATTGGATCCGGCAATTTGAAAGTGCGGTCACCAACAAAATCACCAAGTAAATCACTCCATTGGTCTCCTATATTGCCAACAATTCTGTATCCAGCTTTCACCAACTCTGCCCTTTTACCTGACTTGTACATTACCGATGATCCTGTATCATTTACTCCCCTGCACCCAAATATTCATATCATATCAATCACTATAACCCTAAAATGCTCAATTTTAGCTAGCGTTTGGCTATAGATCTTATTATT